AAGTAAATGGCGTTAAATCGAAAACTTTCAGCGTTGGCACTGGTCTCCGCCAAGGCTGCGTTCTTTCTCTTCTCCTGTTTGTGTTGTATATGGATAGAATAGTCAGGCGCAGCCAGGGCGATGACTGTATCGGTGTAGGAGATGTCGAAATGAGAAAGCTGCTGTTTGCACCTTCTTGTACTGTAATTTTCTGAAACTGATCTCCAGCGCTCTCTGCAGTGGTTGACTAAAGCAGAGCTGAGCCTGAAGATTAAGCTGTTTTTTTTAAGTCGACATTCATCCCAATGCTCACCTACGATCGTGAGTCGTGGGCCATGCCTGAAAACCGTTGACCTGGGTAGAAGCGTCTGAAATTGGCTTTCTGAGAGGAAGTGCTAGGTTCTTACGTCTCGACGTTACCCGGAAGTCAGATATGCAAGAAAGTCGCGCTGTATAACCACTGCTTCTACAAATCTGGAAGTGACAGGTACGATGGCTTGGGCAGGTGTTGTGAATGATGAGAGCAATGCGAAATAGGTGGTGCTTGCTCAAAGGACAGCCAAGAGAGACCTGGGCAACTCTATCGATAGACTAGTTCTCTTCTGTTAAAACTCAAAAGCTGGCACATGATCATGAACGTTGGAGGCACTGCGTTACGCGTCTACCTTCGCGATCCGAAAGGATAAGTGGTCATCGAAACTTATGTGAAACGAATACGAAATAAGCGTAAATAACTCCATTTGGTCAAAGATCCAGTCCTAACTGCGATTTCACAGAAGTTTAGAGACGGGCGCATTTTAAATGTTAAATGGGTTAAATGTCATCGTGATCTGTACATTATGTATCTGCTTTTCGGAAACAGAGCAAAAAGACAATGCCAAGATTACGTTACAGGAAATATAGACTTTTCAACCATTAGTTTATGTCTCACTGCAGTTCACAGTCGAAGAAACTCGGCTTACAAAAAAGTAAAGATGAATGTGCTTACCGATAGGAAAAATCCTTCGATGTCTAAGAGATGGAATAGCCGAAACGGGTGATATTAGCACTCAAACTGTAAAAATCAATTTCTTAACATACTGCGCTGACGATCATTAAACACAGCGAGGTCAATAACTGTACAACATTTGTAGAAGAATTTACGACCAAGATCGAATGCTGATTTATTCGACAATGTACATTTCTACAGTTGAACAATTTAAGAACAAAATGTGAATATCGTTACTCTGCCACAACGAGGCCGAGGTAATCGTCCATCAAAGTGCCGATCGCAAAAATGTCCGTTGCATCTACTCGCGTTCCGATTACCTTTACGCGAACAACGTCTCGCTCTTTGATTAAAATCGTATCGTCCTTGTTGCGAAAACACGGCGGAGCGCTGTTTGGATCGAAATTCATTTCCGGAGGTATGCAGTGCTTGCTAACGAACAGTGATAACGGCCCTACTTCACAAAACATTCCAACTCTATTAACCTGAGTGACGATAGCGTCCACAACCTCGCCTTTAAACGGCCGAAACACGATCGCCTTGTACTTCACGGGATACACGACAAACCCGCGTCCCGGTTGAATTAGCCCAGAACCAATGTTGTCGATGCTCGTTACGGCAATCACAAAGCCATATTCGCCATTACAAGTTCCTTCGACTTCGGTAAATAACTTCTGCTTCACGGTTTCCAGCAACTGAGGACCAAAATAACGAGGGTGCAACAAAATCTCGTGTTCAAGCGAAATATGATAAAACATTACAGGCTCGCAAGATCAGATATTCAATAGAAAATTATGTCAGAGCTAGGAAACATATCTCTAAAAGTATACAGCAACACCCTCAGCTATAACACCAGACCACTAACAAATTCTTTCAATAAACAGTAAAATTTAATTATCGTCGCTTCTGGACATTAATGATTTGCAGGTAAAGTACATAAATAAATCATTACAGTACTGCAACTTTCTAGTAGATAGTTATTACTCAAAAATAAGACTGCACTGGCTCGGTTTTAATCAACAGCCGATTCCGTTCGTTTTTGTTTTGTAATAGTACAGAAGAAAAATTTTAATTGACCTGTGGTAAAATATGTCAAATTGTTGGAGTAATCCTCTATCGATCACAGGCAATATCCCCCACTCCTCTTTCAGCCAGTCCTTCTTCCAGCGTTTATTCATTAGTCTACCAATTAAAGGATGACCTAGATATTTGTTCTGACAGTGTCCTACAAAATTTCAATTTATCTGCATGTTTGGCGCTGACATATAAGCCATCGTATATCTCGGCAGGTTCCTCAGTTAACGTAGTGGTCCTCTTTTTGGTTCTAGATAGCTGAATGGTTTAGTCAAGATGGACACATGATGGTCACGTTGGACACATGATCGAAAATTCGACTCCATGAAATAATCTGTAAAACGCAAAAACAAAGATAAGTCAAAGCATTTGACTTTCCGTGGACCATCGATTCTCACAACCATGTTCCCACATTTAAAAGGAATTGTGACGAAGATTTTTCCAGCTACGTCAGTCAAGCCTACCGGAAAATATTTTCGTTAGTGACTTTTGTCACCCTTCTCGAAGAATTGGAATAGCAGCGCGTCAGTCCAGCCTTGTGACATCCACTGATTGAACACAGCAAAGCTATTCCTGGTAGTAATAGAAAATTTCTGAGGGGCTCCTTAAAGAGTTCAGCCCTGCCGGCAGAAATCAGAAACAGAACCGTTGGGTATCTGATGGACTGGACTTGTAGTACAACTACTACAAGAAAGCAAACGGAAGGAACTGGGATGTTGCCGAAATTTTAACAT